AATTACGTGTACTGGTTGACTATCATTTTTACAAATAATTTTGCGGACAACTGTACATAAAGATATGCTGTGTCCTTATAAATCTCATCTTTAAATACATTTTTAATATCTTTAATGTAAATATGAATATCTATTACATCGCAGTCCTGACATATTTTTTTTTAATTGCTTCCATGGGCAAGTTTTTATATATTTAGAAGTTGTTTAACATTGTTTTTGCAACTTAGTCATATTGGTAAGAATACTTAGAGGAACGCACCTAGTCCGGAGTCCATTGTATGCATACTGATTTCCGAAGTCGGACCGTGGACGTGGCACATTCTCAAATGTTTCGTCGGCATCGTAGTCAACATCGTCAGTTAGCCTTGCCATTCTTAGCACCATACTACAACTAGTCCAGTACTTGTCCAGTACTTGTCCAGTACTAAGAATGGCAAGACTCACTGACGATTCAGGCGAAACATCTGGGAATGTATCACGTCCACGGTCCGACTTTGGAAATCAGCATGCATACAAAGGACTCTGGACTAGGTGCGTTTCTTTAAGTCTAACTACCAATTTGACTAAGTTGCGAAAACAAGGTCAAGCAACTTCTATACAAGGAAAGGAGATTGCGACCACACAAAAGGCCACACCATCTTGGTCTTCATATCTTTTATATATTTACTTTTTTATAAGGTTGGTCTTGTTTTCAAGATAATATATTTTTATCCGTCCAAAACTTTCTTATTATTTACACTTGCATCAATAGTTGTAATTTATCTTTAAACTTTTTAGCTAACGGGCCGTATCCACAATCAATTAAAATGCAAATTAACCCAACCTTCTCGAAGACTATACGCCTGGAGCAGATCTGATCAAGCTAATTTGGTTATTCATGTCTGTGATTTTGGAATTAGTGAGTTACTTTAACGGCATATCTCGAAAGTTACTGGCTTAGGCCTCGGATTCTTTTTATCTTGATTTTATACTTTACTAGTTTTTAATCCCTTGTTTAAAAAAATGTTTTTTTTTGAAGTTATTTACAATGAATCAAATTGACTTATTTTTTTGAATTTGATTTTCTTACCGTTGGTTTTTTCATTTTTTTACTTGCTATTTTTGATTATTTAGCAAGGAGATCTATGTCTCTGAACATAAGACTTTATTCCTTAGTGAGAACCAACGTCCTATTAGCTGTACGATGTATATATACTTTTTCGACGAATCTCCTAATACTATTGTTAAACCAATAAAGAGACTCGTAGGTTGGTCTCAAAATATGACAGTTATGATTCTTATTGTAGTCACACTCACTCATCTGCTTTATAGAGAAATCTCAGCAAAAACGACGTGTCAGGTATTACTTAATCGTAGCAATGAGTTTTCCTATTTTAGAAAGAAAGGTCGTTAGCTTTGACTTTTGTTTTTTTGACCTTTTGTTTAATTGTGTAGAATGACCAATATGGTTTCGTACTCGCATGCATCAATATATCAAAATTAATATATATATGAATGTATAAGAATGTGTCCTACGAAAGCTCAGCATGCTTTCTCTTGAATCAACTGAGGCTTTCTGCTTCAATTCAACTGCCCAAGTAAATCAAGCAATAGGCTAAGAAAAATTCGTCGTTTTATAGTGAGATCGACCTTGGAACTTATTCATCGTACATATTAATCTGATTAAATTCGTGTTATTTATCAAATGCTGATGATATCAATACTAGGTCATAGTTATATCTTTTATTGGCTATTTAGGGGCTAAAATATGTCGAATTCTTTTTGTTGAGCATTATTAATTTTACATTCGGGTATCTTACTCGATTTTGTTTCTGTCTAATGTCCTAGAAATAATTCCCTTCTATATCTAACTATAACTTAGATTTTCCAA